CACCTTCGGTCCTGGCACCACACCTCCTCTCACCTCCCATGCCACCTCCACTCCTCCGTCCCTCTCCTGTCCTATCTCCATCCGCTCCGATACTCACCTCGGACTGAACACCACACCTCTCACCACCCTCCTCCTACTCCTCCTCCCACTCCTCCGCTTCCTCCCCACAACACCTCCACCCTTCCGTCACCCTCCTACTCTTCTCCTGTCCGCTCCAATACTCACCCTCAGACCTGACACCTTTCCTCTCCTCCACACCTTTCCTCCTTCCTCCTTCCTCTCTCTCCCCTCTGGCCCTCTTCCGTTGACCCCCCACCAAGTTACGACCTTCCGCCGCTGTCCTGTACTTCGTACTCGGACACCACTCGTACCTTTGCTCCGAGCCTCCATCATAGCTCCTACCTCGGACTTTGACTCCACCTTGGCCTTAGTCCATTGCATTGGTGACCTCATACTACGTTGTTGTGGGGACAAGTCCGTGCAGGTCAAACCAACACTTATCACACATTTCACCCCCTACTGCATCAGGAACTAGGATTGGTGAGTCGTGGTAATAGTAGGGGTTGTAGAGACTGTGGAGGTGGTTCTGACGAGTCCAAGATCGTTAGATTTGGTGGAGTGGTTGAGGAGATATGACTTGTTCTTTATTTTCCTTACTATTTTCATTCATTCATGCATGTGACTTTCCTTCTATATTTGTATCGGACTCTTCCATGACAACTGTACAGACAGTTAGTTAGAGGTTACACAGAGTATCAGCACCATACTCCCAAGGACCATTCTACCCTAGATAGAGAGAGACCTACCCCCCCCCCCCAGACCTGAGTTGTGAGTCTAGTTGGATAGACCCATTACAAATCTGGTGGTCCTTACAGGGGGGGTACACTTCTCTTCATCACAATCATGCAAGTTCACACTTTCGTTTGTTTGGAACTTGATCATTTTGCTGTGGATATCGAGTATCTACACTGGTTACAGACACAGGCCAAGAACAGTACAAGTTTTTAGGGATCCACACGGGACCACCCAAGCTACCACTACATGCATGCACGCACGCAGATTTGCCCGAGTTTTTGTTTTCCTGGCGGACCTCAAGATGAGGCACAGGATATTGAAGTTTCGACTTGTCCTCCCTGAATCTATTCATAAAGGGGAGAGGATTATGGGCATCGCAATCGAGCATGCACACAGAATCCTTGGTCACCTTGGCATCAAAAAGATGCTCGAGTATGTATGCAAACACTACTGGTGGTCTTCGATGTCAAAAGACATCGAGAAATTCTGCATGTCCTGCAGGATGTGCCAGACGACCAAGAAAAGCAAACTCAGACATCCGGGACTGCTGCACCAGCTCCTGGTCCCTGAGAAGCCTTGGGAGTCAATCGCCATGGATTTCGTCGGACCATTCCTGACGAGCCTGAGTTATAACTACCTTTGGGTAGTTTTGTGCCGTCTAACATGCCAGGTTCACCTAGTGCCCATGATGACCCAGGTCAAGACAATTGAGCTGGCGCATTTGTTCCTGCAACATGTCGTGCGCTTGCACAGCATGCCAACATCCATCATGTCAGATCATGACACAAAGTTTATGTCTCAATTCTGGACTGAGTTGCACCAACTAATGGGTGTTAAACTCAAGTTAACCACCGCGTTCCATCCTCAAGGGGATGGCCAAGCAGAATGAGTGATCCAGATGGTGGTCCAGATCCTTCAGTCATTCGTCCGACCCGATCAACGAGATTGGGCTGTGCATATACCCATGGTAGAATTCGCATTGAACTCAAGTGTGAATAAATCAATGGGATTCGCCCCATTTGAGTTAGTATATGGATACCTCCCACAGATGACCATGTCTCTGCCATCATCTGAATTGCTGGGGGTAAAATCCTTTGCCCAGCGGGCCCTGGACAACATCCAGGCTGCTCACAACGCTATTATCAAGAGTCGTGTAGAACAGGTCATCCAGGCGAACCGACATCAGCACCCTGATTCCCCCAAACTGAAGAAGGGGGACTATGCATATCTTTCAACAAAAGATCTGAACCTCCCCAAGGGGAGGGTGCACAAGTTGTTGCCAACCTATATTGGCCCTTGCGAAATACTGGAGGTATTTGAGGACTCATCAAACTACGTCCTCAGGCTTCCCCCAGTGTTGAGGCAAAGGAATATCTTTGCGAAGTTCCATGTCTCACGGCTTGCACCTCATGAGCCGAATGATTCTGTGTTATTCCCTGGGCACGCTGTAACGGGGATTTGCTGGTGTACCATAAACAAGCCAAATCCCGCGATTCTACCACCCTTAGCCAATGTTCTCTCCTGCATATTTCTTATTTTTCCTGATTTTTCTGATTCCATTAGAGCCGGATGTTTCCTTTTCTTATTGTTCTTTCCTTATTTGTCATTTTCGGACTCTTCCGTGATACCGTGACCAGCTGTATAGTTAGCTAGACAGTGAGGAGTAGCGAAATCCACACCAAGTTAACAAAACCTGTGCATGCGACCACTCCAACCCTCCCCTCTCTTCTGTCTCGAGTCTAGTGGTGATAGACCCGTTACAAAACTGGTGGTCCTTACAGGGGAGGGTATTCCGAAGGGTCGCGCACACCGAGTTCTCAACCACGCAAGTTTCACCATCTGTTCATTTGTTTGACAACACCATCGTTATTTTGGACATTGACTATCTACACCATTTGTTGCACCTCAAGAAGAGGCAGAAGTACAAGCCAGGGATCTCCGAGTCTACGGATCCACACGTTTCACACACCTGCAAGATTAAGAAAGTTGCGCGATTGTTTATCCTGGCGGACCTCAAGACGAGGGCACAGGACACCGAGTTTGTTATCGAGTTTTAGCGACGTGTTGCCATTCAGCAAGTTTATCGCGATTGTTCCTCCTGGCGGATCTCACGACGAGGCACAGGAGGTCGGGTTTATTGCTCAAGTGGTTAACTCCTGGCAGTTCTCAAGAAGAGAGTACAGGAGCCTGCATTAGTTATCTGGTTATCAAGTTTGCAACGTGTTTTTGCGACGTGTCACTCCGTTTACTCCGTTTCACCCTCGTTTTTACGATTCCTCTCCTAGCCGGACGACAAGCGGCATAGAGAATCACTCCAAGTATTGCCGGAGCGGGTCCCAAGTGATCCCGACAATCCGTTCTCAAGTTCTTACTTCGTTTTGTTGACTTTTCAAGATGGCTGCGAGTTCGGCTATTGAATCGCCATTGTTATACGTTCCCATGCCCATTCCCCGCACCCCAGAAGCGCCTCTGTTCAAAGGCAAAGGAATTGCCAGGTTTCTCCGCAAGTATGAGTCGCATGCCGACGTGGCACTATTCACGAAGGCCCAGAAGTGCGACTTCCTTATCGCGTATTGTTCCAAGAAGGAAGCCAAGTTCGTTACCACCCTTGACGGGTTCAAGAAATCAGATTGGCAGTTACTCAAGACTGAATTGCTGATTCATCACGGTGCTGACAAAGAAGACCGATATCGCACCAACGATCTGTGCAAGCTCGTAGAGAAACGTCGCAAGATGACGACTTTTGACCACTTCGACCAGTATCTGCGCCAGTTCAGCATTATCGCTGCAACCCTCGAAGCCCGGTACCTCCTCACTCCCATCGAGCGTGATGAATTGTTTTTCCGAGGCTTCCCATCCAAGTTTAGGGACCAAGTCAGCTTTGACCTCCAAATTGAAGGCCTGTGGGCCGATCCACCTCATATGTGCGACGTTATCACAACAGCGCGGATGCTGCTTCAAGAATTTATGTTTAATGGCGACATCAGCGATGAGCCTGAACCAAGCCCATGTTCCAGCGAAGGCCCCAGTGGCAAGCAAGCCACTCAGGACAGTGTGTCTGTCACGTCGCCGGTTTATTCATCGCGATCTACAACAGTTGAAGACTTTCTGCCCAAGTTTGACACGGAATTGAGCCCCAGCGCTTCAGAAGACTCAGAGACCCCAGAGATGAGTTCCAGCGGCTCAACGCTCGATCTGATGGGCCAACCCCAGTCCGAAACCTGGGAGACGCCCAGCGTCTATGAGCCCGAGTCCATTGCTGTGACCGACGAATGCATTTCCCAGCCAGAGTTTGACGACGCTAGCCTAGAGACAACTTCTTACGACAATTCTGCGAGTTTCTCCGATGTGCCACAGCTTAACGATCAAGAGCTAAGGCCTAACGGCCTCGAATCCGACTCAGAACTCGACATTTTTGCAGAAGACCCAGTTACCGCAGTCTTAGCACATGCGCCCACCGATCCTATTCGCCCAGACGAAGCCTATAGCCCGTTGTATGACTCCGAGAGCGCATCCGAGGCTGATGACAGCCAGCGCTTTGTGCTTCCAGAGATAAGCGCCGACATCGCTGAGATGTCGGACTTGTACCAGTTTGCCTTTGGATTTGAGCCCGATGTGCCCAAAGCCGGCCCAAGACCACTGAGTAATGACCAATGCCAACTTTTGTGCAATGTTCCACGTCGTTTCGAGTCAATCCAGAGTAATGAGCGACAAGCGCCCAGCCAGCAAGTCAGCCAAGGACTCCGAGTTGCCAGCCAAGCCGCTGCCGTCGATGTCAAGCTTCCTAGAGTGAAAACATGCCACAAAGTCTTCACCCCAAGCCGTTGCTGCTAGTTGAACGCGTCATTCCAGCCAAGGCGACCAGAGTCGCACCCATGTCGCTTGATAGAGTCTATGAGAAGCTTCCCCCGCGCGCGCTGGTTCTTACACCTGAGATGTGCAGACTCAACCAGCCAAAGGCCAACCTTAGCACTGCAATCGAGATCGAGTACAGCAGTGACGAGTCTTCCACCGAGTCCAGCTGCCACGAGATCGAGCCAATCGATGCCGCGTTGATCGAAGTGTCCAGTCATGAAGTCGAAGATGCGACCTCAGTCCACAGTGAGAATGAGTCTCATGTTGCTTGCGACAGAACCGGAGAATCCAGTGTTTCAGTTTGGGACTCTAGTAACGAGTCCAGCGCCAGCGGGTATGGTGAAGCAAAGATGCGCGCAGACATGCGACATTTCACACCTGAGTACAATGAAGGATCTGGCAGTCCACCCAAGAAGGATCCAGATAAAGCTCTGAGGTGTGAATCCGATTCCAATCGTGGTGGTGAAACGCCTAAACACGTTAGGACGCCGTCCACCGCATCCGAGTCCAATGACGGTTATGTTGAACCGCCCACAAAAGATCCTGATAAGGATGCCAACACGATCGAGTATTCGGGCAATGGCCTTGTCCGCAGACACGAGTCTAAGGTGACTCCAGAGGCCAAATATATACGAGATGCCAAGCTCCACAGTGGCACACTTGAAATGCCGGAAGGCACCTATGTCATTTGCGATGATGAGATCGCCCTGTTCGAAGTCAATGGCGAGTCTGAACCAAGCAGAAAGTCGAACATTGCACGAGTCCTGGACTCAGCCAAGAGGACAGTGAGCACGAGCATAAAGAGCCAAGGCCTCCCGGCCTCAACGATGAGCTCAATTGTTGTTCCACATTGTGTACCGACTTCCGCCGCGAGGTTTCCGTGCTTGAGACGCCAGAGGGCATCTATGTCATCCACGGTGGCCTTGTGATTCTTTTTGAAGTTGCCCAAGCCGCGGAGCGCGAAATCCAGTTCAGACCCAGCCTAGCGCAAGATGGGACCGAGTTCAAGGCTAAATCAGAGCCAAAGTCCCTCAGCCTCAGCGATGAGCTTAGTTCGATGCCGATTTCAGTCACTCTTACGCGCGAGTTGAATAGAGAACAGGATTATGATTTGATCGACAAAGATGCTAACATACATGATGTATTCGACGCAATGAACGGCCCTACCTCCCGGAATCTCGTTAGCGCTGGTCCTGGCAATGGAGCACCCCAGCCCCCAAAGACCCCACGTTCCCCCGACCTAGTCGATGACGGCTATGAATGCCGACCTGAGAAAGACCCCGACAAGGTCTCAAACATGAATAAACGTCCGGGAAATGGCCCAGCCCGAGAACAAGAGTCAGAGGAGACTCCAGAGGTCAAATGTTTGCGTGGTGTTGAGTCCCAAGGTGACACCCACATACTCGCGATGCCGGAGGGCATCTTTTCTTTCCAAGCATAAGCCCGCCCTCGTCTTAAACTAAGCCGACCTTTAATCATTTCCCAACATTCTTTCAAGTTTTACGCGTGTTCTTACGATTCCGATGAGTGCAACTTGTGCACTTATTTCTTGCATGCGAAACCACGCCGTTTATTTCTGAGTTTACAAGTTTGGCCCGAGTTGGACGCGTCGTTAGTCCTCGATGCCACGATTTCCTAGCCAGATAACCTTCGTTCGAGTTTGACACGATAAATCCACGCTCCTTTCGCTTTCTGTTCGATTTTCCCCGATTTTCACGCCGAAGTTGCCACACAGCGACGTCGTACCTGATGTTGAGGTCGCCCAAGCGCAGCACACTATGCCACGACCGTACCCGATCCCACAACGCTAGATTGTACCGAGCACAAGTCAAAAGAGCTAAGGCCTCCCGGCCTTAGCACCAAGTTTGCCGTCTGATGTCGATCCCGAGCCCGTGCGCGATGCCTACCGAGGCAGCACCGATCCCAGTCATTGTGTGCGACATGAGAACCCTAGCGTCGCCAGTTCAAACCCAAAGAGCTAAGGCCTCCCGGCCCTAGCTTCGAGTTCCAGCAGTAGATGACAGTTCCGAGCCCGTGCATGAGTGACATGACGCCCCAGCCAGATACAAGCTGATTCCAGTACACGACAGCGCTGAGTACAAGTTAGAAGAGCCAAGGCCTCCCGGCCTTAGCGACAGATCCATTCGTTGTTGAGCGCGAAGTCGATCGCGGAGCGCGAAGTCCTATGCCGATGTCGGAAAAGTCAGTATCCGTGCACATGTGTTAGCGATGGGAGTGGAATCGAGGCGTACCATTGTGCCCAATCCTCCCATTCGACCAATGGGTCTCCAATGGGTGGTAGCGTGATGCCAAATTGCGCGCGCGATGTCGAGTTCTGGTGTAGGTTGACGCTGGAGCTAGTTGATGGTGTTGGGAATGGCAAGAGTTGAGGCGATTGATGGATGAGTGAGTGCCGAAGGAAGTTGTTGAAGTACGCGAAGCAGTCGCATGGGCAAGGCAACTTCGTCGCAGCTCATGTGTCCGTGGGCGAGTAACTCGCCTAGGATCTTCTCACGCCTGCACATGACCCCCTGGTCCGGACAAATTCCGAAGTCACATGGCATTCAACACCGGGGCCTCATCTGATTACTTTGTTTATTTCTGTTTGACTTTTTTCCTTTCGGGAGATTGCAAGGGACTGCAATCAAGAGCAAGGCCTGTATGTAACGGGGATTTGCTGGTGTACCATAAACAAGCCAAATCCCGCGATTCTACCACCCTTAGCCAATGTTCTCTCCTGCATATTTCTTATTTTTCCTGATTTTTCTGATTCCATTAGAGCCGGATGTTTCCTTTTCTTATTGTTCTTTCCTTATTTGTCATTTTCGGACTCTTCCGTGATACCGTGACCAGCTGTATAGTTAGCTAGACAGTGAGGAGTAGCGAAATCCACACCAAGTTAACAAAACCTGTGCATGCGACCACTCCAACCCTCCCCCTCTCTTCTGTCTCGAGTCTAGTGGTGATAGACCCGTTACAACACCATAGAAGTATTTTATGACTTTGGCAATGACCCAGAATGGGAATACCAGGTGAAGGAAATCGTCGACCATCAGTGGGATGATGATAAGTCTTTATGGTTCTGTGTCCAATGGGGACTTGGTGACCTTACTTGGGAACCCTTGGCCAATGTAAATGATCTAATTGCATTGGATGACTACCTAACAGTACAAGGGGTAGAGAATGTCAAGGAACTGAACCGTCAATGACAGGATCAGATGCCGGACAATAGATCCAACGGACCATCATGACCATGGTGTGAACGTCGCCTACCAGTCCGATACCAGTGGATATCAATGCCTTATCACAGCCACCTATGGCGTTGAAGCCATGAGTTGCCTAAACTGGCAAGTCCGGGAATATCCGAATAATATCGGATAAATGCAATGAAAGCAGGATCAAATCCTGCTTCCTACCATCAAATTTGAAATCGCTCAAATGAACGTGACTGAATCCCCCCTCACTGATTCTTCCCTCAACCTTTCCCCCATCAAGGAGGCCCTTGTAGACACCAGCCCAAATTCCCCACCTGTAAGTCCCACCACAGATGCTGCCATGTCGTTGATGGACGATAACTCCACAGTCGCTCAGACTGTCGCCCCTGAAGCACCCAGCACAGGCATTTTAACCCCAAAACAGGACCCTTTGGTCCTGCCCACTCGTGTAAGCACGAGTGAGAAGTACCCCCACCTGCCGCGTTCCACACAGACAGGGCTTGATCAACTCGAAATGATTACGGAAGTTGTGTGGGCCCATATCGAGAAGAAACTCGAGAAATGTAAAGAGACTATGTTCAAAGACGAATGTAGGAATGATGAGCTCGATGAGCTCAGGAATAAGTATGAGATGCTGCAGAACGAGGCTGACAACCTGCATTCTGAAAATGACCGTCTTCATTGACGGATCAAATCCCTCCAAAAGGCCAACAACGAACTCAACGAGGACATCTTTAGAGTCGCGCACACGGCAAGGGGACGCCCTGCATCTCCCAAACCCGCCCCGATTCAATCTTCTGCTCCCTCGTCGTCATGGCCCACTGTCCCCCAAATCATTGTTATCCCTGGGGTTGGCCCGGTGGATCCTGCATCGGCCAAGTCTGCGCTGTCGAAAAAACCACCTCTTCCAAGAGATGGGCTCCCACGTCTGATGATGACAAGATGGAAGGTGAATGGGTCGTTGACCCTGATGCCCCCTTCGAAGAATTCGTCGCGAACCGTCCACCCGGTTACCACTACTACGACGCCAAACTCACTGAAGTGCATGGCGAACCCCTACCCCCACCAACATATTGTCGATCGGTGGCCCTTCCTACCCGCTTCTACGACATTGACCATGTCGATAGAATCGAATTCCCAGACGCAGCTGTGCTCCTCCGCAACAAAGAACCTAAGTGGTTCGAGTTGGTTCGAAACTACATACACACTGAAGAAGGTGTGAGATTCTATGCTACAATGTACCATCTTGCCTGGTCGTTCAAGATGGGCAAGCCCTTGCAAGAGGACATCGACACCTGTACTGACTGGTACAGGGTAGCAACAAACAACCATGCCTCACAAATGCATATGTTGCGTGATGACATTGAGATGGAGGCGAGAAGACTTCCCGACCAGTACCCCCTGGCTCGTATTGCACGGATGTACATCCTTGCATGTCGATGGATAAAACCAATGACTGATGACGCTTGTGAGCGTTGTAAAATTCAACGTCAGGAACGAGCACTTATGTACTCAAACCCTCCCCCAATGTTGTACTCAAACCCACCTATGATGTATGCAAGCCCACACCCTGTGGCGTATTCGAATGCCCCACCTCCACCGCAATACCCCCCTCCAATGTATGCACACTTGTTGGTGTACGAATCCCCTCACGCACCATGCCCATTACTCGCACCGTCATCAAGACAAGGATTCGTCCATGAACAATGCTGATGTCAAGACGCGTCACTACGACGACAACTATCTCAGTGACAATGTCGCTGTCGACACAGCTAGGTCCATGACGACTTGTAGGACTACATCAAATCGCCCATCTGGCTCTGGCCTGTCCAGGTCTGCACCGCGTAAACAGATGAGGAACTGACCCCCTCATATCCCTACCTTCGTCAATGACAATGCCGTCGTTGATTACTCACTTTTGTCAACGACAAGGCCATCGTTGATTAATAACTTCTTACCTTCGTCAACGACAATGCTGTCATTGATTATCTATTTTGTACCTTTCCTCTTCCGTCAACAACAACGTCGTTGATTATTCATTTTCCTCTTCATCGACGAGAACTCTGCCGTCAACGACCTCCACTGTCAACATCGTCACAGTGGACGATGGTATTTAATAAACTCACAACGACGAGAAAGTCATTTCATCATTGACAACTCTGTCATCGAGATCTGGGTGCATATGTTCCAGGAGAAACTCTAAGTGGGCTTTGCCTACAAACTACTATTATAGCCTCCTGCAATGAGTGTGCCCCCGTTTGCATATATCTTTCGTATGTAGAACATTAAAATTTTATTTCTTTAAAAAATGCTTGCTTTCCCCTTGTGTATATATGCTTGTACCCTGTCTGCGATTTAATATCGCAAGGGAGGAGGATGTGAGGCCCTGGCCCATGTCTATATTCCGCCCACAACATCAGTTGATGTTGTGTTGTCTAATAATTATGTTGCGATGCTAATTTACCATCACGGAAGCTTCTCTATTTATTTGTGCCAAGAATGCATTAGATTGTACATAAACCCTCGGGGTAGCTGTAAAAGGCAGATCAGCCTTTACTTCTACCCCATTAATATACAGCCCATCAAAGCGTATACTTAGACGGTGAGGCCTGAGGTGAACGGGGGAACAGAACGTTACTGTCCCCAAAATAGTAAGATAACCTTTCAGCTGTGCCTACATTCGATAATGCTTTAGGAGCTTGGTCCTTAACTTCAGAACGGGGGGCATGAACTCTGGGGGATAGTCTTGTCAATTTTGCACTAAGGTGCCATCAACTACAGTACAGGACTTATATACATAATAGAAGACAAATGAGAACAAAGGGGAAAACCCAAGGGGGACTTACCCACTTGCTGGGTTGGCAAGCTTGTGAGAGAATTGCCTTATCGAGCATTGTGGAGTGGGTAGGTGAAGGGTGGAATTAGCAACAGCTACTGGAGAGTGGGAAAACCTTTGCAGGGGTGGCAGAGGTCCTGGAGGTCCGTAGTAATATTGGGTAGATAGAAATATTAATAAACATTTAGGATGAGGATAAGAGGTACTGGAGAAGTACTGGAGATCAGAGGCAGAGGTGAACCAGAGGTGAACTGGAGGGTATGGCAGAGGTGCAGGGGGAGGACGGACCAGAGGTGGACCGGAGTGGTGGCAGAGTGGAGTGGAGGTGAGGCAGAGTTGGTATGGATATGACAATGGGCCCAAACAAAAAGAGACAACAGAAAGGAAGGACTGTGACTCTGGTAGTGGAATAAAGGTCCAGAAGGGGGAATCTTCTTATACTGGCCAAGAGGAGGCATCAGCAGAGAAATTTCGAGACAAGGTATGGGAGATGTGTCAGGGCATACCCACCTGACCTGCCTCCACCTGGGCCCACCTGGGTCCACCTCACCTGGTACCTCCCCTTCTCTCATTCCCTGTCCTTCCTTCCTGCTCTTCCCCCTTCCTACCTCCCTTCTATTTCTGTTTCTGTTTCTATTTCCGTTTCTATCTCTATTCCTATTTCTATCTTACACGGATGACTTCCCTTTATATCTATGTATTACTGACATGCCCACGACACGCACATGACATGCCCAGCCCTGGATGCCCTGGACAGCTCTAGGGTGCAACCTAGTATGCGTGCATGCAGCATACACCCTCAGGATCCCCCATGGGGACACCTGGGTGACTGTGGCTGTATGCGGGGTGACATGGCAGACCTCATGTGACTCGAGCCACATGTATATAAACACACCTGGGGTGGGAAACGAAGAAGCAACCTTCTTCTCAACATTCCCACTTCAGGTAAGTAGTATAGTTTCCCTTTTAATAATAACTCAACATTCCCACTTCAGTCTAAGTGGCCAGGGACCACTGTCCCGCATCGGGCCCGCCAGTACACACACCTGATCTACCCCCTGTGAGGTCCTCAGTGCCGGATGCTACGCCCAGACCACCTCAACCCTGGACACATCCCTGACAAGATGGCCAAGGGAGCAGAGATCTATGAGGATGAGGATGCAGTGGAGCTCCTCCCTTCGAGACTTTATTATGAGCCCTCTGAAAGCATGGATTGGAGACAACATCAGGGCAGGTGGATTAGTAGGCCACATCTGGAGGAAGGGGGAGTCCAAGATGAGAGGACTTTTGTTGACATGATACAAGAAGATTTTGAATGGGAAAAAGCAGATGTTGGGAAGAGAAAGGCTGACGAGCTCAGGACCATGGAGAAAAACGAGATTAGGAGGGCTCTTGAGTGCCCTGCCCATTTGCCTCTCATTGCTGTGGACTATAAAGTGGTGGATTTGATTACCTGGACCACCAAATGAGTCCAAGAGTTCAAAGATTTAAGGAAACAGACCGTAACCCTTCATGACCAACATCTCAAAATCATTTATGAAGACTTGTGTCAGGGCACACCCGCCTGACCTGGGTCCACCTGGACCCACCTGGCCATACCTCACCCACTGCCCTGCTGCCCATCCCTCTCCTTCCTCCCTTCTCCCTCTTCCCTTCTTTCTTTTCTCTCTTTCTTCTCTTTTCTTTATTTCATTCTTCTCATCATTCTCTTCCTGTTTATTCCTTCTATCTACATGGACCACTTTCCTTTGTATCAATGTACTATTGACCTGTCCAGCCCAGACACCCTGGATGGCTTCCTGCTGTGCCCAGCACACATGCATGCAGTGGATGCTCTCAGGATCCCCCACAGGGACACCCAGATGGCTGCAGCTGTCTCTGAGGATGACATGGCACTCATCATGTGACTCAAGCTGCATGTACATAAATGTGCCTGAAGTGGGAACTGAAGAAGTAACCTTCTTCTCACCTTTTCCACTTCAGTCTGAGTGGCCAGGGACTGCTGTCCCTTTCTGGACCTGCCAGTATGCACGCCCGGTTTGCACCCTGCAAGGGCCCTTCTGCCGGGCAATACATCCGGACCCCCTCTACCCTGGATGCGTCCCTGACAATGTGCCCGTTCAGGTTCTCTTGCAGGAACTCGTCTAGTTCCTTCTGCTCTGGTCATGACAGGGAGAAGGTCCTCTCTCTTGGGAGTTTGGCATCCAGCACCAGGTCTATTGTGTGGTCCCAGGGCTTCCACAGGGGCAGCTGGTCAAAGGCCTCCTTCGAGAATACGTCTTGGAAGTCCTGGTACTGTTCTGGGACTAGTGCCTCAAACAGTGCAGGCTCCACCTCTGGTTCATGGGCTTCCTGGGCCATCTGCTGAGATGGTGTCATGGTCGCTCTTAGTTCATGTCCCCACCCTGGAGGGATGATAGCGGCATAAATCCCATCCCCAGGTTCCACTGTGGGGTCTGGGTCGGCATGTCCTTGCATCAACAGGAGGATGGGCAGCAGGACATAATGATCTTTTGCCACATCCATCCACCTCTGGGTTGTGGTGGAGCAGCCACAAGTGTCCTATGATGAGGGACTGCTGCCCAAGGTTTGCAATGGTGAAGCAGGCCCGCTCCGTGTGCCGTCCAAATGTCAGGAGGGCCTCTAGTTCCTCAGTTATGGCCCCATTCTTGTTTGGGGTCCCATCAACGTTGCAGACAGGGATGGGTTGGGGGAGCGGGGTCATCTTGAGCCCATGCTTTCTGACAAACTTGGGGCTTACAAAGTTCCCAGTGGCTCCTGAGTCTATGTCAGGGCTCGGTCCTCAATCAGGGACAGCCCGACCTCGGTCCTAGGTGTGTGTGGTGTTCCAGGTGCTAGGGCGCTAGACCCCGTCCTCAGCTCCTCAAACTCACTGAAGGGACTAAGCGGGGATTGAGCTGTCATGTATTACAGAGGGTAACTACAACTTGCCTAAGCGGGGATTGAGTTGAGAAGAAGGGTAAGTTTCCCTATTCCCCACTTGGCTACTATAAAAGGAAGTGTACTGTACAGTTCGTAACGTGATTCCGGGTAGAAGCCGAGCATGTTCCCGCGACTCGGAAAAGGTGTCACATGGGTTAAGGCGAGTTGCTCGCCTTAACCCACGTGACTTTTCCCGCGGGCTCACATGCGGGTTGAAGTTGTGAGAGGTATGTAGGGATGGGGAGGTCTGGGAAGGTGGTTCTGGGGTGTGGTTGGGTGCCCTGACAGCGGGGTCAGGGGCCGATCCCTGACAGTCTAGGAGCACTGACACAGAGACAGTGGTGAGGGAGGTCAGGGTGGTCAGCTTTACAGCTAGGTTGAGGGATCTGGGGGGTTGCTGTCAGGGACTCGTCCAGGGTCGAGGGGGTCCGGGTGTAGCGTCCGGGACCGAGAGCCTGGCGGGGGGCGGATCGGGCGTGCATACTGACAGGCCCGATGCGGGACAGTGGTCCCTGGCCACTTAGACTGAAGTGGAAAGTTGAGAAGAAGGCTACTTCTTTGGTTCCCACTTCAGGTTCATTTATATACATGCGGCTTGGATCACATGACGGGTGCCACGTCACCCTCGCACACAGCTGTAACCACCCGGGTGTCTCCGTGGGAGATCCTGAGGGCATCCGGTGCAGGCGCGCATGCTGGGCACAGCGGGGAGTCGCCCGAGGTGCCTGGGCCAGGTACATGGTGGGCGCGCTGCAGATGGGTCAATTGTACATTGATACAGAGAAAGTCGTCCATGTAGAATAAAGGGAGAATAAAGAAGAAGTAAGATAAGAAGAAACTGAGGAGGGGAGGATGAGGGGGGAAGAAGGGAAAGGGGGAGGAGGTAAGGAAGGGTGGACCGGCGGTGTTATAGAAACGGATCTAGAATCTTATGGTCCGTGACTATAGGCAAGCAGACTTTGGGATTCCATCACCTTATTTCGCTGTCAAACCCCATGCCAAGCTTTCCCACTGGGTTTTGGTGCTGGCTGGGGGATTTGTTGAGTTTCAAGGGATTTCCCTTGACCATTGTAATATTTATATTAGATAGTTATGAGTCATATGACATGTAAGGCAGTTGCCGGAATTGTTTTTCTGATTATGAAATACATAACCCACAAACCTTGTACCGCGATTGTAACATCCTCACCATTGTGTCACCACTGTAAACTCAACCTGTAACCCTGGAACCATGTCCACCTCCCTATTCCTCCTCTCCATGACAAAACCACAATGAGGTGGGCATTCCCATGCCCAACCTCCTGCTGCCCACTCCCACCAGTCCACCAGGTGGTCGAGTGGTTACTCCCATCCAACCAGAAGTTCCCTATCAGGAACTGTAACCTATCCCACCTCCTCAGGAGAAGGATACGGTCCAGGCAGCTCCAGGATGCCTGGCCACGCACCCGCGGGTCCGACTTCCCACGGTCACCCACTACCATGCACTGGTCCACCAGCCCGCTTTCCCCAACAACTCCCACTACCGGTACGCTCCCATGAGCGCCAAGTCACCGATAGCCACCAACTGGGTGACTCCCTTTGGGAGTCCCAGTATCCCTCACTACCAGTACGCTCCATTGAGCGCCAAGTCACCGCTAGCCACACACTCCCAGCACACCTGCTACTGGCACGCTCCCAGGAGTGCCAAGTCCCCGTTAGCAGACAGCCAGGCGGCTCCCTCAAGGAGCCCACATCATACTCGCTACCGGTACGCTCCCAGGAGCGCCAAGTTACCATGGGCCGACACACAGGTTACACTGCCAGACACTCATCCCATTCCGCTCTCCCTCCGATGGCTACGCAGCCACCTCCATTAGTGAGCCGAACGGCTCAGGTTGGGTTCCCCGGAACCCATTCCCATAACAGGCAGGGTACCGGGTCAGGTTGGGCTGGGTGGAGCCGGGTCAGGTGGGTGTGCCCTGACAGTTGCTTGGACAGCACGTAGATGGCAGGTGGTGGCACCGCTACCTCCGGCACCGCACTTGGTGTTTCTCTGCCCTTACTGATCGAGGACGCAGTTTTCCTCTTTTTCTTGGTGATGACTTGGTGGAATTTGGATGTCGGCGCCAGCTTAGGTGCCTCACAGTATCTACACGAGCTAGACTATTGCCTACAGGCAGCTGGGATGCGTCCCTCACTGGTTGGCTTCCTGAAAATCCTCTTGGGCCTCTACCTCTTGCCCTTCTCTTCCATCCATCTCCGGCTCATCCACTAGCTGCCTTCTCAGCCCCTCCATGAGCACCCTGAGGTCCTCTGGGTGCATCTGTCTGGCTGGCGGATTTTCGGTTGCAGGCAGTCTCGCACGATGTGCCCCAGTGCATTGCAGTTGTAGCACAGCCCATTTCATCTTTGGTCTATCCTTGAGCGGTCAAGGTCCATGGGTTGTGGCCCTCCCCCTGCTGCAGGGTGGGCTGCAGGAGGTGGCAGTGCAGCGGTGGGTGGGGGCACAGCGGTGCAGGGACTGGGCATGCTTGCAGGAAGGTGGTAGGGAGTGGGGGTCTCACAGGTGGGAGTTGGGACCTGACTGGGGGCAAGTGGGGCTGCGTTGCCTGGAAGCGTCACCACTGGTTGTCGAGGAGGGTGGCCTTGTGTTTCCACTTGGCCCAGGTCATTGGCATGGGGCGGAGGCAGTAGATGCTCTCTCGGAGCCAGGAGTTGATCGCCTGTTCAAAGTGGTCTACCAGCCCCATGTCTCCTAGCCATGAGGTGGGGCTGAGGATCTCGAACTCTTGGATGACCTTGTCCACAGAGTCGGTGCCTTGTCACAGGGTGGCCAGCTTCTGCCTGGCCATGGCCTCTGTCACGGCCCCACAAAGTCCCCACCCTTCTACCACCTTCTGCACCCCCATTCTTGTGCCTGTTACTCACGCCCGTTAATCACGCCATTGCCCATCACTTAGCAGCGCCGATAGTGGTTCCCGTTCTATGGCCCCGTAGCAGCGCCTCCTTCATTTTCCTGCCACCACTTAAGTTCCTCAGCCATTCGGCCGATACCGTTTTATTCTTACTCATTCGCTTAACTAACTAGTGGTTGTTATGGTCACCACTGATCCGCTCCTTATTGACATTTGGTTTATTCCTTTATTGACACTTGGTTATTCCTTTATTGACATTTGATTTATTCGTATATTGACATTCTGATCCACCACCATATTGGTGTAGATTGTTGGCCTATTCATTCTGCCTCCCAACTTCGCTGTCCTCTGTTCCATTCATTTCTTCTGTTCCATTTCCCTGGTCCTCATCGCTCTTTTAGTTCTGTCGTACTTACCATCCCGCTCCCGTCCTGCGCCGGACCGACCGGCCCCTCTCTGTTCTCCTTTCATATTTATACTTGTAGTTTACTGTCAATGTACCTTAGTTCGAATATCAACTAGAATTCCCCCCAAGTACTCTCATCTTAAGTTCGCCTCTCAGTTCCATCTCCGCTTAAGTCAACGTCACTGCAAGGTAACTCCCGCTAACTGTCAGGGCACACCCACCTGACCCGGTACCCCGCTGGTCCACCCTTCCTTACCTCCTCCCCCTTTCCCTTCTTCCCCCCTCATCCTCCCCTCCTCAGTTTCTCCTTATCTTACTTCTCCTTTATTCTCCCTTTATTCTACATGGACGACTTTCTCTGTATCAATGTACAACTGACCCATCTGCAGCGCGCCCACCATGTACCCGGCCCGGGCACCTCGGGCGACTTCCCGCTGTGCCCAGCATGCGTGCCTGCACTGGATACCCTCGGGATCTCCCACGGAGACACCCGGGTGGTTACGGCTGTGTGCAAGGGTGACGTGGCACCTGTCATGTGATCCAAGCCGCATGTATATAAACGAACCTGAAGTGGGAACCGAAGAAGTAGCCTTCTTCTCAACTTTCCACTTCAGGTAAGTAGTACAATATCTCTCCTTTAATGATAATAACAACTTTCCACTTCAGTCTAAGTGGCCAGGGACCACTGTCCCACATCGGGCCTGTCAGTATGCACGCCCAATCCGCCCCCGCCAGGCTCTTGGTCCCGGACGCTATACCCGGACCCCCTCGACCCGGACGAGTCCCTGACACTAACTTGAAATACAGGACAGCCTAGAACGCGTGGCGCAACGCTCCAGCCAAGTCATTGAAGCTGAAGTCCCAACCACCACGACACCTTGCAACGGAGTAGCTCATTAGCTAAGTGTCCACTCATGCCGCCGTACTCCGCTCCGCTTCCTGCAAATACCTCAAATACAGTTTCTGACAGCCTCACAGTTCGGGTCTTGGAACATGGTGTCAAGTTCCGTGTTGAACTCATCCATGGTGAGTCCGGGGGAGCCTGTTGTCAACAGTGCGATGGTGTGCTGAATTGCCCACACCCCTGCAGTCCCTCCCTTCATGTAAGACAGGATGAAGAGGATTTGGGAGAGGGTGCCAGGGAACTCCACCACCTGAACATGGAAGTATTCAGCCTTGAAGTGGTCAAGGTCTTCAGTTGCTCCAGAGAAGGGGGTGGGGGGGGGGGGCAACTTTAGGCGGTGTCAGGGCACATACCCTGACTTAGCCCGGACCCGGACCCGCATCCGGACCCGCTCCACTTCCCACGCACTTCCTGCGCCGCACACTCCGCACACCGCATGATCCGACCCCGGATCCCACCTCATGTGACTTCTGGGTATCCCCGGAAGTTTTCGCCATATTGGGCCACTGTGGGAAAGTGAGAAGTTATCCTTCTTCTCACTTTCTTACCCACAGTAGGCAAGTGTATCTTACTTGCCCTTTATCTTATACACTTTCTTACCCACAGTAGTGCTATGCCCTGAGATGGGCTGCTGTTACAGGTTAGCCTGTGGGCCATAGAGAGGGGTCATGGGGACCCGGGGACCGTCCCCTGACAGGCGGTTTGGGTCTGGGGGCAGGTGTGGGTGCAGCTGGGGGTTGGTTCTGGGCTTGGCTCTCCATAATGGCCTGGAGCTCTTGGAATCGGGACAGCAGCTCGTTGTACTGCTCTTCAGTCACCATAGCAGGGGAGATGGGGGAGGCAGGGGAAATGAGGTTAAAGCCTTCTTCTGCTGTCAGGGACAGCTCTGAAAGTGGCAAAGTCCTGGCATGAGGGACTCAGTGGGACAAGTGTTGGCTATGTGTCCCCAACCACTTGGTCTGAAGTGGGAAATTGGGTTATCATTAAAGGGGAGGAACTATGGTACTTACCTGAAGTGGGAAATTGAGAAGAAGGCTGCTTCTTCTGTTCCCACCCCAGGCGCTATTATATACATGCGGTTAAGGTCACATGGAGGGAGCCACATCATCTCCACACACAGCCACACCTCTCTGGGTGCCTCCATGGGAGATCCCAGAGGTGTGCCACTGTGTGGGTGGAGATGCACATGGTGGGTGTGGTGATTGGGGAGTGGCATTAGGTGTGTAGTGATACATAGAGAAAAGGGAAGTTGACTGTAGAACAGAAGTAGAGAGAAGGAAGGAAGAGGAAAGGAGGAGGGAATGGGGGGTGATAGTGGGGGGAGCGGAGTAGGGCAGGGTGGTGTGGGATGCAGCGCAGGGTCAGGCGGGGTATGCCCTGACACTGCAGAACACATGATTACTCACCCTGACCAGGTGAGCTTCAATGAACAGTTCTTGAACACCCTCCCACCAACTTGGAAGGAGGAACTTGTTCTGCATGATCATATTACAGTCGATTTTTCTACCCATGATGAACTATGGGCTGCCATTTGCACATTGACAGCACATATGACTCTATGCATGCTATAAATGCATACAAAGGAGGATTCTCCTCCTTGTTGTCTAGTCATCTGAACTTGAAGCTGAGCTCGAGTTCAAAAACTAGTAACACAAGCATCGCAAAGGGAGCGATGTTGTGGGGACAAGTCTGTGCACCGCAAAAAGTCAGATTCTGCAGAATTTCCCCACCAACACACACCACATACCCACTGATGCTTCCATTGCTCATTCCCACACTATCCAACACTCCATACACCCATCCCTATTTTTCCATATTTTCCCCATCATTCCCGACAGTCCCAAGCCAAATTCCCATGCCCAACCACACTGCCAATTTCACCAGGTCAACCAGGAGTGGCAGAGGTGCAGAGGGTGTAGAGGTGGGCAGAGGTCCGGATGTGGAAGATGTGCAGAATATGGAAGATGCAAAATATGCAGAGGATGCGGAGGCAGGGATGTGAGACCAAGTTATGCTATAAGCCTCGGAGGAACCAGAGGGACTGGATGCCAGGAGCACCAAAGGCTCAGAACTGGAAGTGAAATTGGAATGCTGGCAGGGTCCAGGGTCTGATTGTTGGCAAAGTCTCACTCGATAGGGCAGGGGGCCAGACATCAGATTGAGGGCTGGTTGGATCGGGTTTTGGGTCAGCAGATTCGCCTATTGGCATTGATTCACCGCTGACAGAGCCCCGGGATTTGTTGGTCATGATAGCCTAGAGAATAATTTATAACCAGTAAAGACAGAGGGTGGAACACTGAGTACCTTTCCCTTGTCTTGTGCCAGCATGTTGTCATAGTGCCTTTGCTACTGTGCTCAAGCTCATTCTCAATAAGGGGCCCAGTTTTTTTTGGAAGGGGATGCGCTATTCAAAAATAAGCATGTTGGAAGAGTGGGTGATAATTTCACTTGCATTTTGGCCTTGGCACTGCAATGGGTGTTAGCAAACTACACCAATGCACACATGAGGGTAAGAATAAAGATGTGCCTTTGGCTAGAGTTGCAGTAGATTTTGACATGTCATCGGTTTCATCTCCACTTGCATGACTCATGCCACGCTGATCATCACTGTTGCTCTCATCTTCATCAGAGATGTTGTCGCTGTGATGACTGGTACGAAGATGACCTATCCACATCATTAAGGGCCAGCAGTACAAAGATGTATGATACTTGTGCTTGGGAGCACAGGGAATTTCTATCCGATTTTGTGAGTTGTGACTGAGAATGAATCCATTCCACTCGCCTTCATCAATCACAGGATTACTGTGGAACTATTCTTCAGGGGCATACACAAGTGAATCCTTCTGATAGATTTTGGTTCTAAATAGAAGTTTCACTATGTATGTCCTGAGTGGGTTGATCGTTCAACAGCTTACCCTTGACTTGATGGTTTACTTGGGTGCAGTGTCTTGTCAAATCAGCATGGGATTGCCCTGCCCTCTTTGTTCCTACATGTTTGGCAAGACGAAAGCCAAGTGTGAACAGAAAATATAAATGGTTGAAACTCTTACCTTTCTTTGGCACCTTTCGAGGAAACTTTGGGTTTTCCACATGTTCATCACTGTCATAGACTTCATCCGATTCACTATGGCCATCAACCTTGAGGCAGGTCTCATCTGATTTCACATGGTCATCTCCTAATCTAGACTGGTTGCTCCCCAGCTCAGTGTCACTATCACTTGTGCCATTCAGTGTTGCAACATTGATTCCCCTTCGATTCCGAGGGAGATTCCTATTTGAACTTGCCAGTCCTCTCACCTGAGAGAGCAAAAGGCATGTCAGCATTGGTTTGGCACAATGGATTGGTAGGGGAAATCAACTCACCTTTCTTTCATTCCTTTCACTGAAGGTGTGTCTTGCGATTTTCAATTGCTGTCTTGAGTAGCACCTGCACAGGCCAGGCCTCTTCATAATCATTTTTGAGCCATTCATGTTCTTTAACAATCTATGTAGCATGCATGTAATAATGCCTAAAATGAATCTGATATACATATACTCACATCGCTTTCCATCATTCCAAGCTTTTCAAGTGCAATCATGTGGTATTTGATCATGCCATTGATGAATGACGCCCCAACATGTGTGTGCAGCACGGTTCAAACAGATTCCTAACATTAGTTTGTAAAGCTGCAGCATCACATCAAATTACAAGGCTTGGTACTCACTTGCACAAGAGGCATATCTTCTTCAGCAATTTTCATGGCTTCATGTAGTGAGAAGCCATGATCATGATGATCCACACAGTCCTGTGGACACGGTATTCGGTCATGGATGCGATCCTGATACACTAAAGGTGCAGAAATACATCATAATGGCCAGGATAGCAAATCAAACGTGTCTTACATGTGTTTTTCCCCTGCCGAAGCACTGGAGGACACAATTGACATAGAAGCACCAGCTTTGAGATCGGTGTACATGGTGACAGACTTACCTTCTATGTCTTTGTTGAGTTGTTCCTGCTCATGTTCAAGGTCAGAAAGTGTGCACTTTTTAGTTCCAGCATATGGCATGAGGAATGGGATGATGAGATGGAGTTTCAAAAGTCGAATCAGGTGGTCAATCAGCAGAACTGCATTAAGTTGAATTGGTCTCGGCCTAAACATCACCAAATAACGCAAAATAACACGTCCTAAGCACCCTTGATTGTCTGCTGAAGCATCACTGTTTCATTACTGGAGACTCGGCATGCTGAGCAATAGGACTCATCTGGGATTATACTTGCTACTTTGGGGCCTCAGATATCCCATAGTCTCATGGCTTTGGATCACCACAGTATCTCAGGCATTGCGGCTCACAACCTTAGACACTCAGATCACACAGCTTGCAGGCATTGCGAGGCAAAAAGATCACGCCTTCTGGGCTGTCCACCTCCTCTGAGTTACTACAAAAGGTGAAAGCTCATGGCCAATACTTCCATGAAAGCAGTACCAGACCCATTGGAGGATTTGGCATGGGGAAATCTAGAAGCACCTCTTGAAGATGAAATCATGAGTTCGGGGTTCAGAATGCTGCATCTTAACCATAACTTTGACCTTATGTGTGTTTTTGCTAAATACAATTTGAGACTGACATTTGCTCCCAATGCCAACAGAAATGGCGATCGGAATGACGCTGGACTTTGCAGTGAGGATGCACCAGAAGAGCTCACCGAGGCCAACAAAGCGCACCTGGAAGATTGGATGGAGTTGGTCAATAAATATAAGGCAGATGCAACTTTTCGGCATCATAACAAATTTTGTACATTTTAATTCTCTGATATTTATTGTTACAAAAATGGGGCCGGAGGCGCCCATTTTCGTCCATCCTAGGTGCAGGAAGAGGGAAAGGGGTAGAAGTTGAGTTCATTTGATTTACAGTAGATATAGCAGGTGTTGTTATAGATGTTACCACAAAGACATGATTTTGTTAATGATTGATTGGTTAAACTTAATTACTATACAAATCATGTGACACAGAACCCATAAGAGTCTAAAATGGGAAATTCCCATTTCCATAACATTTATTCTCAGCTAAACCTGCCGATGTCCAGATGACAAGCCACTTTCCACATTGGACTACCAAAACCTCAAGATGTTTGACATCATGATCTGGAGCAATAGATCTAGCATGACATACAATGTTATTCAGTTGCGATTCAAAGAACTTCAACTGAAGTCACTTTACCAACTTCACTCGCATATGTCAAGGCTTTCTCATGTTATCAAATGCTCTTATGACTGTTGTATTAACAGTTGCTGCTGCTTTACTGCTGAGCTCGCCGGACTCAACAGTTGTCCATACTGCAAACAATCATGCTTCAGACCAAATAGCTATATCCCTGTCAAGACCTTCCATTATCTCCCCATAGGGCCTCGTCTCAAGGCCCTCTACCTGGACTTCTAAAATATTGCGGGGCTCTCAATCTTGGAACTGGGACTGTCGATGATGTGTTTCATGGGATCCATTATATGGGTCTACTGCAACAACAAGTGCATCTCGATGGGCAGCGATACAGGCACCGTTTCTTCGGTGATCATTGAGACATTGCACTTGGGATAATGACTGATGGATTTCAGATTTTCAAATGCCAGCATGATGGCAGCACAACTTGCTGCCTGAGGAACATACCAAGTTATCAAACATCATTCCTCTTGCAATAATCCCGGGACCAAAGGCACCAAAGGACTTTAACTCATTCCTACAGCCACTTGTTGATGACTGCAAGCAGCAAGCCTTAGGGGAATGGGCATTTCCAATCTCTTGCCATGGTGACATGGTCGCTATGAAGCATGTGATGAATTTTAAAGGTCCTAATGGTATCTCTCCATGCCGCATTCAGGGCATTAGGAATGTCAATGGCTCAACAACCTACTATGTCCCCCACACTCCTCATGACAAGCCCCAAATGCACAATACATACTGGGATACTCAACATAACTTGGTCCAATCTGAGTCGGACTATTTCCAGACCCTCTCAGACATCAACTCTCTCCAAGGCAATGCCAGAGGTGCAAAGTCCAGACTCACCAATATCCAACAACAGTCCGGTATAAATGGGAACTGCATACTCATGGAACTCCCATCTATCTCAATTACTTGTTCTTTCCCCCATGACTGGATGCATCTCTGCCTAGAAAATCATGCAAAAAATCTTGTTGCATTTTGGCAAGGTAAATATAAAGGTTTGGATGAGGGGAAGGAAAGCTATTAGATTTCTAAAGCTGTCTGGGAAAAAATCGGGCAAGAAACTGCTCAAGCTGGGGACACAATACCCTCATCCTTTGGGCACCGCACCCCAAATATCTGGACAGAAAAGCACCATTTCACAGCTGAAGATTGGGCTTTCTGGATGATTCACATAGTGCCATATGTTCTCAGGGATCGGTTTAACTGCCTCAAGTATTACAAGCATTTCATGAAATTTAACTCGATCCTTAAACAGACAATCCAGTATTCTTTCATGGAGCAGGATCTGGGGGAGCTTGAGGAAGACATTGTTGAGTATGTGAAAGAATATGAAAGGTGAATCCCTTTTGCCACTTGAGTTTGTGTGCGAAACAATACATTAAGTTTTCTAGCATTTACTACCAATTTTCAGTTCAGCATTTGCCTGCATGCCCCCTCACTGTCCACACACTTCTTCATATCCCATACAACATTCAAAACAATGTAACAATTGGACCTTTATCATGGAGCATTGGTGTGGCTCGCTTTTACCCAGCATCAAGTCTCAAAAGCAACCTTTTACGTGTCTTGCACTAAGGCAGTATCATGCAGTGCAGTTATTTGAGGTTGTAAACCGCTACAATGTAACTCAGCTGATGCCACTGAGACATGACATGAATGTCCCTTCACAGCATGAGAAACTATCTTCAAAGTTGGCTTGTACGCTGTTTTTTGATTGTCCAGTCACTTTAGCTAACATTTTTGCAGATCTTATCTCTTTTTTATGCAGGTGTGTCAAACAGAAACATATTCCTGACATGACCATTCGAAAGAAAATAGCTAAACACATGAAGACCTCTTTCAGTGGCTTGATCAGAGCCTGGTTGGACATCCTCCTGCAAATAATGGAACATCAGCAAAAAATTGTTATGCTCCTGAGTGCTCCGGAGTATGGGGAGCACTGGGAGAATCAGGAGGAGATTGGCCAGGTACTCCAGGGCACTCCCAGGAGGGCATGGAGCATTGCTTTGTGCACAAACATGTCCAGTAAATAAAATTTAAATGCTTCAAAGTCTATAGGGGTGAGAAGCTTCTGGGAGCTCCTGGAGCATTTGAAAATGAAAAGGAAAAAAGAGGAAAGATTCCCATGAATACCTCCTACCACAAGGCTAACACAACAAGACACTGCTTAACATTTAGATCAAACACTATACTATATATCAAGGACACTGAGACTCACCTATTGAATACACAATCAAAATTATGGCCTGATATATGATTAATCTGGCAACTTAATCACTTTCGGGCTTGCAGAATATGGAGGAGGGGAAATGTGGGGGAATGAGGGGGGAAATGTGGGGGAAATGTGGGGGAAATGAGGGGGGGAGAATGAGGGGGAGAATGAGGGGAGAATGAGGGGGAGAATGAGGGGAGAATGAGGGGGGAATATAGAGGGAAATGAGGAAAATTTGAAAAATAGGGACTTCTAAAAAGTTGAAAAAAAATAATTAGGGAAAAATCAAAAAAAAATTCAGGAACTGTAGTGCCTTTGAAGTGCTTTCAGGATATATAATTATTTGCGAAATTGAGGAAGAAATGATGGAGAAAAATGGAAAATACTTTTGGAGACCCAAGAAATAATGAGAACTGAATTGATGGGAAAGTCTGAAAATTGAATAGGAAAGTGAGGGGAAGCCTTGTAGCATTGTTATTTTCTGCTGTTCTGATTTTTCCTGATTGTTCTTGGTCTCACTCCCAGCTGCTCCTGGACCCTCCCAGGAGCTTTCAGGAGTATTGGGAGCAGCTGGGAATGAGACCAAGAAGAATCAGGAAAAATCAGAACAGCAGAAAAACAAGGCTTCCCCTCACTTTCCTATTCAATTTTCAGACTTTCCCATCAATTCAGTTCTCATTATTTCTCGGGTCTCCAAAAGTATTTTCCATTTTTCTCCATCATTTCTTCCTCAATTTTGCAAATAATTATATGTCCTGAAAGCACTTTAAAGGCACTATAATTCCTGAATTTTTTTTTGATTTTTTCCCTAAATTTTTTTTTTCAACTTTTTAAAGACCAAAATCTTCCTCCTGTTGGAGAATGGATATCTGTTCCCATCGGTATAGAGTTTAACAGCCTATACTGGCATGGTCAAACGGGCGAGTTGTGTAATGGTAGCACACTGAGAGGTCCTGGGTTCAATGCCAGGCTTGTCCATGATTTTATGTCCTTGTCTTGTGACCTTAACTGTATCATTCAGTTGGATCTCACGGAGTAAGTCCCGTGGGGCAACGTGAAATTTCTTCACCTCCCACTGCTCCTGGCACATTGCATACTCCTCACCACTCCCAGCTGCTCCTGAACCCCCTCCTGGGAGAACACTATTGGCTCCAGGAGTGCCCAATCTGCTGTTTTGTCTCCCACATGCTCCAGTGTCAGGGCCTGGCCTTGGACTCGGAGGCTCCCTGACCTCAACCCCCATCTGGCCTGTCCTCACACTATGCGGGGCATGAGATGTATAGTAAAAGAAAGGGAATATATACACTTGCCTATGCGGGGCATGAGATGAGAAGAAGGGTAAAGGTCTCATCTCTGTCAGGGCACACCCGCTTGACCCGCCTCCACCTGGGCCCACCTCACCCGGTTCCCCTTCTCCCACCCTGCACCCCTCCTTCATACCCCTTCCCCCTCTATCCCTCTCCCACTTCCACTTCTATTTCTACTTCACACGGACGACCTTTCCCTTATATCCATGTATTATTGACCCGCCCACGACGCACACATGACATGCCTAGCCCCAGACGACCCCGGATGGCTCTAGGGCGCAACCTAGTGCACGCGTGTGCAGCATACACCCTCAGGATCCCCCAT